AAAATATAAAATAATTATATTTCCTACAGTAAAAGGTCGAAAAAGTGACAATTTGCAATTTTTGCTCATTTTATTCAATCGCGAATAACTTGTAAACTAAAAGAGATAATTAAGATCGCATCGAAGCGTCTTAATCTACAGACTATTCTCTATAAGATAGGATAGTTAAAACGGAAATCTAAGAGATGAAATTTTAATTCTTAAGAAAAAATGGGTAAAATGTAAAAATGGGCCCTGAACACGAACCACTTCTACCGCTGCCCTCTTTTAAACTAAACTAAAATCGCAAGCAAGCAACGGATCAAAGAATGTGAATGATTAGAAAATTTTTTATCAGGTTAAAATTAAAAATAATAAAAACTAAACTAAGATATACTGCATGCGATATGAGCAGATGGCAACGCGACACAAAAATTGTTGTACAACTCTTGTGCTTTTGTAAGCGAAGGAAAAACTAAACAGTTAATTTTAAGATGAATCAGGCGAGTACGCGACTATCTTATATATTTGCAACACGCGATAGAACGCGATAAATCAAAACAACGTAAATACAAACTAATGGAGGACGCCGAAATTAAAACGAAAAATATAATTGAATTATAAACTTACCAATGCAGAACTCATGGGACTCCAAGGCACGGCTAATGCTGTAAATAAACAAGGAAAACTTAAGTTAAAACAAAAACATTTAATACTATTTCGAAATATTATAATCACACAGCGGAGAACAACAAACAATCTGTGATGTTAAGTTAAAAGTTACTTATACCAGCACAATGGGTCATTCCTAATAATGAATATCAAATCAACCGGCAATTAACCCGCATTTATAGACAATAAACGCGCAAACATTAAATAACATTACTATTGCCAATTGTCCGGACAAACAATACGAGTCGCGTAAAATATTGGATCAACCAGATACTGGCACGAAACTGGCTGCAAACTGTGCAAGCAACGACGTGACAGTTTATGATAAGAAAGAAAAAGATGCGCATAGCCAGTGCGACGATGGCATGCGACTTTGTGAACGAATCGCTTTGGCACGTTCCCTGCGATCAAAACTAAACTAAGATGTACATGTAACATGTAGATGTAACATGTAGCGTGAGGGGATCTCATGCGTTGCATTCTCACAGCGAATGCGATAAGAAAGTGTAAGTTGTGTTCAAAACAAACAAAATTCTCCTGTCGAATGATCGCACTTCCTGATAACTATAGAAATAAACAATACATGCCTATTTTACACTTTTTGTTAATTCTAGTGCTATTTATAAATAGTGCAATTAGTAGTCCCAGAATTTGGATTAAAAAAAATTAATAAAAATTTAAAATCTGAATTATGTAATTCAGATTTCTTATACTGGAAGATTGTTTGATTTTACACAAATTATTTTAGCGATATTTAATTCGATAGAACAAGACGGATTAAAGATGAAAAAGAACGAATTAATTATAAATTATAAAATAAGCTAGTTAAATTGGATATTTAAGAGAAGAAAAAAGTCATCCTCATGCGGTTCCCTAAATACGAGTCACTTCTACCGATGCCCTGAATGGGAGACACTTTTACCGCCACCCTGCTACGGTATCCCGAATGAGATTCAACTATACAATTGCGATTAATTGCAATATAACTAAATTAACAAAAAAAATCCACGGTTTTGTCATATTTAAGTCAATAAACTTGAATAGTACGTATCTTTTAAATTAAAAGCTATAGCGATCAACAGATTGAAGAATATGAAAGATTTGAAAATTCCCTACAAGATAAAAATGAAAAATAATTCTATTCTTTGGGGTAAAGGTCCAAAAATATGACTAAAATGCAGAAATGTGCAAAAACACTATGAAAATATGGTAATAAAGAAAAACAAATGCAGAAACATAATCAATCAATGCGGTTGAGAATATTATTTAATATACTTACTGGTTAGTACTGTAAAACATCGTAAACGGCATCCGTCGGCACCCCGCTCACGAACAAATACACAATATTTGCACTTCGCGAATAGCTTATAAGCGATAAATCATTAGCGAGACACAACAGTCAGCAATAATCACTAAGAACACCAAAAGTAATACGAATTACCGAATTAAATCCGAAGAAAGGAGAATCGCGACGACCGCGTGCGAACCATCCATCGGATACGGCGAAACTAATTTTATTCCGGCAGCATGAGCAAACGATACACGCAGCGCCATCACACGGTCGCGAATATAGTGACAATAAGACAATAAGAGATAAAAACAAACCGGTCGAATGCCAGCGCGACGTGAGATCGCAAGGTTGTTTAGACACTACCTCATACAAACGTTGGACGTGTATGTTCGTCAATGAAATATAAATGTTTGTTTACCTTTTCTTACCCTCTTTAAATTATAGTCAATTGATGATCGAATATACTGCGAATTTGGAAAGTAGATGTCCGGACAAACAATAAGAGTCGCGTAAAATATTGGATTAACCAGATACCGGCACGAAACTGGCTGCAAACTGTGCAAGCAACGACGCGTCAGTGTATGATAAGAAAGTGACAGCAGTGCGTCGATGGCACGCGACCTTGTGCGCGAATCGCTTTGACACGATACCTGCGATCAAAACTAATCTAAGATGCGCCAACATGCGGTGTGAGGGGATCTCATGCGTTGCATTCCACGCGACGAATGCGATAAGAAGGTGTAAGTTGTGTTCAAAACACAATTCACAATTAAACTAGTTAAATTGAAAATCTAAGAGAAGAAACAAATCATCATCATGCGGTTCCCTAAATACGAGTCACTTCTACCAATGCCCTGAATGGGAGACACTTTTACCGCCACCCGGCAACAGTACATCGAATGAGATTCAACTATACAATTGCGATTAATTGCAATATAACTAAATAAACAAAAAATCAACGTTCTTGTCATATTTAAGTCAATAAACTTGAATAGTGCATGTCTTTTAAATTATAGACGATAGGGACCAACAGATTGAAGAATATAAAAGATTGGAATATTCTTAAAGTTAGTTAAAAATGAAAAATAATTCTATTCTTTGGGGTAAAAGGTCCAAAAACATGACCAAAAGTGCTGAAATGTGCAATTTTCTGATTTTTGTCAAAAGATAAGAAATAAGAATACAATCGCTTCGCTTGAAGTGACAATACGTCATGCAATTTTATGCACAATTATGAATATAACAATCTATAAAACACTATGAAAATATGATAATAGAGAAAAACAAACGACAGAAACATAATCAATCAATGTCGGAGAGGATATTAATTAAATTACCTACTGGTTAGTACTGTAAAACTTCCATCGTAAACGGCATCCGTCGGCAGCCCGCTCACGAACAAATACACAATATTTGCATTTCGCGAACATCTTTTAAGCGATAAATCATTAGCGAGACACTATAGTCAGAAATAATCACTAAGAACACCAAAAGTAATACGAGTTACCGAATTAAATCCAAAGAAAGGAGAATCGCGACGACCGCGTGCGAACCATCCGTCGGATACGGCAGAACTAATTTTATTCCTGCAGCGAGAGCAAACGATACACGCGGCGCCATCACACGGTCGCGTATATAGTACAAAACAATACACGAATATCGTACGCGAATCACCTGACAATAAGAGATAAGAACAAACCGGTCAAATTCTAGTGCGACGTGAGATCACAAGGCTGTTTAAACACTACCACATACAAGCAGTGGACGTGTATGTTTGTCAATAAAATATAAATGTTTATTTACCGTTTCTTAAATGTTCAAATTGCATTGAAACAATTAAATCTTAATTCGGATAAAATAAAGAGAAACAGTAGAATATGATTGAGAAGTTTGAATTTATTTGGTCGCCCTTACAATTACAATTCCTGGACTAAAAGGTTCAAAAAACAATTATATTTTATGAATACTTTTCATAAGTCACTTTTACCGCTACCTTCGTACGGTGCTCTGAACACGAGTCACTTTTACCGCTACCTTCATACAGTGCCCTGAATCGAGTCACATCTACTGCTAGACTTTTAAGGTGCCCTGAATCGAGTCACTTCTACCGCTACTTTCATACGGTGCCCTGAATCGAGTCACTTCTACCGCTAGACTTTTAAAGTGCCCTGAATCGAGTCACTTTTACCGCTAGACTTTTAAGGTGCCCTGAATCGAGTCACTTCTACCGCTACTTTCATACGGTGCCCTGAATCGAGTCACTTCTACCGCTACCCTCACACGGTGCCCTGAACCAAGTCACTTCTACCATTACTCTTCTACGGTGCCCTGAATTGAGTCACTTCTGCCGCTAGCCTCATACAGTGCTCTGAAAGAGAGTCACTTTTACCGGCATCCTCATACGGTGTCCTAAACACGAGTCACTTCTATCGCCACCCTGCTACAATACACCGAATGAAACTCAACTAAATCAACAAAAAAGTTGCCCAAAAACTCTCGAACAATTTCCTAACATAAAAATCGTTATCCACTCCGAAGTAAGGTTTATTCTATTCTTAAAACTTGACCCCTTTTAATTTTCCTTAAAAAATCATGTAAAATTCACCATAAACAAACAAAGTGAAGTCACAAAGCCATGAAGGTCAGTATAAGTAAATATCCCCACATGAGCAAACACCTGCTAATTAACGCGTAATTCTACCCTCGTTGAGAATACATAGACCATAGTAGAGGTCGATTTTCAGTAACTAACAGAATCTTG